CTTATCAATTGCCGGTATTGGGCTAAGGAGTACCCTTTTAAGTTGGTATAGTAGAACACTTTTTCAATTGAATGTCGGGCTCTATACATACATGTGATCGATAGTTGTATTCGAAGTCCCTCGAGAATACCTAAATCTGAGCCTAGCCTAACCCGAATGCTTACGACTTTCTTTCTTTCTTCGGATTTTTGTGTGTTTTTCTATGATTTTATCTAAATCTTTGTAGAACACTCGTGATTTTCTCCGAATTTTCCTCGTGTTTTCGACTTTTTTCGTCGAGTTACCGTGGGTAATTTGCCGCTTTTTTTTTAGTCTTTTCAGGAGTTGTCGACCCGCCAAGTATACATGTTTGTTTTACATTTATAGCTTTTACTTTTACTATTGCACACTTTATTGCATATATACTTCATGCCTGCAATATTGTTGTTTACCATTTACTGCGTTTCGTAGCATAGTCCCAATATTGCTGTTTACTATTTACTGTGTTTTGTAGCATATTCCCTTTATAATACATGTTGCTTCTACATACTTGCAGGGGACTTTTAGGTTAGAGGACAACAGGGCACCTGGTTTATGAGGTACCTTGTAGCGAGCCCCTGACCCAATAACTGTACATTTATCCACACCATAACCCTGAACTTATAATCGATATGTTAGGGAGATAATCAATATGTTAGGGAGCTTAGAGTAGTCATTCCAAGAAGCGGAGCGTGGAAGCAAGCGAATGGGGTGCGGCGATCGAGACCACGACAGCGAGGTTTAGGATGTCTCTTTAGAGTTAAGGTCCAATCATTGGATAGTTGGGAAGTCACCGTGGTTTTCCCTTGATCTGTGACATCTCTTAGCTTTCACTTCATTGACTCCTGAAAATAACTGTTTATTTTTTGAACCATTCATCTTTGATTTCCTCACATTTAACCTTGGAAACCTAAACTTTGCAATCTTGAAGGCAAAACAAATGATTTTAATCGAGAGTCTTATTAAATTATTTCGATTATTTAAGATGTAATTAACTATAGGGACTTGCTTCTATAGAGAATTTAAGAACCCAGTTTAAAATAAATTTTATTTAATCTCACGTATTAAATAGGAGAACTTGTTGACTTGTAAAAAGATTTCGCAGATCAAACGAATATCACAAATTTTTTAGTTTAGGTGGTTAAGCCTGCCAACACATTATATGCATATTCTTCGGGATAGTGTACTGCTTGTGGTGTCGCGCTCAGCCATCTAGACTGTCAAATGTGTGACGTCCATGCGGTCTCAATTTTCAAAATTAAAATATTATTTTCTAAATTATAATCATACATATATCTTTATTAAATTAAATTTAAACGACTTTCGAAATAAAACGACTGACATGTACCTCAGGCTTCTCCCCTAGAGGTGTATATGCTCCTCCAGAATCCTTGATGGGTGAGAGAACGATGCGTTTCCCCTCTTTTGGGAATGTGTAAGTGCTCTTGAATCATCGTGCCGTGTCTTACGATTGTACTACCCCGACCTTCCCAATAGGATGTGACAGACTTCCATGGGCATCATATCACACCACACTTGATCCTATAACTAGTCCTCAATTGAAGATTCTGCCAGGTAATGTTGATCCACTCTTATTTTATTTCCCTTTTTCAACCAGGTTAGAGAGGGGTTGGGAATGTGTTTCTGCATAGCCAAAGCCCAACTTATTCCACATGAAAACGGAGATCACGTTCTTGAATCTCTCTCTCTTGGTGCAAAGGATCTTATGCCTCAACCATGAGTGATCCTTCCTCAGTTCAATTTGTAAAACACTTCTCAAAACTAGCATTTCATTCTCCTCTCCCTTAAGCTGATACTCATCCTATTCTTCAGCTGTTTCCTCGTCGCTCACTTCCTCCACGACACCCTGCTCCATAAACGACACAACCCAACTCGCGGACAAGTGGAGAAGATTTGCCCATATTCGTGTCATCAGAAGCATTTTTGGTTGAACTGTACCGGGCGTGCTGCTCTTCTCAGGCTTCCTCTTACTCTGATTAGCATTGTCAGTTCCCTATCAAATCTTTCCCACTCCTTCAGATATGCTTCTGCTGGGGCTTCTAGCTGTATGAGGTGTTTGAAGGCGAGTACCTCTACTGCTTTCTCTGTTTCTCCACTTTCGGCACTAAGGTCTGCACATCCCTCATTATCCAGTAGGTTTACAGTTGGACCACATTATCGATGGCAAGCTTATGCTTGCACTCCAATAATAGCTCTTTCTGCTGTAGGCAGTGGAGTTTGATAAAATATTCTAGCGGTACTATGGGGTAGGTATTGCCATTACCTTCTTCATCTTCTTCCAAGAAGTGATTTTGTCCCGTCTTCTCTGTCTCTCCCTCTTCAGATTCTCCCACCATAAAAAGACATTCTTCGCCAGCTTGATGACAGTTAGCTTCAATCTCCTGCCATCGGGCACATCCTTGTATTCAAGTATTCACTAAAAGTTTGCATCTACTTGAGAATCATCTGGATTCATTCTCCCGTCAAAGTCCGGTAGGCCCACTTTAACTCCCTGATCTATGCCCACCAACAGGCACTTTCTCTCGGTTGCTTTTGATACTGAATTTTGAAACGCTAGGGTCGATTCTCCTCTTCATTGAAATCATTCCTATGAAAGGGTTCAACTTTTTTTGGCTCTTTTCCATGGATCTCATTTTTATGGTTGACAGAGACCTCGCCCATGGTTCACTCCTTTGTGGCTTCAAGCTATTGCAGTACTTGGCAGAATATTCGTTTTATGTCGCCCATGGCAAAGTTTTGATCAATTTTCGACAATTGCTTTATCATTGGCATGGTTAGGGTTTAGAGGTGGATAGATGTGTAGGGTGGGTAAATAAAACATGGTGCATGTGGGGATATGTTTGGGTATGACAGATGCTAGAATTCCTAGGATAGTGCTAGGGTTATTATAACCATGATATCAAATGATACTGAAGTTAACTAAACAACAACGTGAAATATAACTTTTATCACGGAAAGCAAAAATAGGTTACAACAAGCACAGACTGAATTAGGAAATAATAATGACTTAACACAAAAAACAAGGGCATGGGTTGAAGGGGGTGTTGCTACGATTTGAGGGGGATTAGTAGGTAGGGATGGTTGTGTGGTCGAGGGGCAACAAGGGGAAAGGTTGTAGCTGTAGGGAAGGTGATGTTGGCTGTTGGGGTGTGGGGTGGCAGAAGGGCTGCGACAAAGTGCGATAGGGTGTCAGTAAGGGATTATGTTTTTGCGTTTGTTTTGAAGTTAAATGAATCTAATCTAAAGCTTGACGACAAAGGTTATGGATGCCAGTTGGCGGCGGGGAGTGGTTTGCGGCCGCCAGTGGGCAATGATTGCAACATATTTAGAGGTCGACCTAATGGCTCTGTTTGGAATACACCACCAATGAATAATGGGATATGGTCAAAATTCCCTAAAATTTCACTTTGCATTCCTTTTCAAACTAAATGCCAATATGTTCAAAATCGCTGCATTTTAAATACATTACACCCATTTTGCTTCAAACTAAATCTCCCTTATGATGTGCCACCACGTTGGCAAATTATGCTGCTAAAGAGCTGTGGTTTTACGCTTTGACTATTGCATCCGCCTTATCACCCATCACCAAGATAATAGATTCATGGTGCACAACAGTGTGATAAAACATCTAATGCTTAGCTAAGTCCTAAAATATATTTTATCAACTGCCTGAAGTCATTCAAAACAAAACAAAATTAAAAAAATAAAAAAAATAAAAAAGGACAAAAAAAAAAAAAAAGTAAAAAAAAGACCCCCGGTAGTAGTCATTCAACGTTGATGTGGCTATCGCCTGTGGAGCACTTACATGCACCAACCTCCTTCTATTTTTGTTGGGAATACTTCATGACAAGCATCTCTGAGGTCAAAGCTTGGACCTCATTATTCATTAATGGTTTGCCATGTTCTAAATGGACGCATCAATTGTTAAGTTAGCTGGCGATTTGCATCCAACTTTTATTTATAAGTTCAAACAAACTATTATCTTGGTTTCATATCTCTATCCAATGAATAGTTTTCCTGCAAGAACTAATGCTTATAATTGTAGTTTGCAAACCTTTATCTTAGTAAAAGAAGGCAGCACAGCTATCAGAAGTGTTCAATAGATGCTGGTGGTTATAATTTATATATACATGCTATCAGTAATATACTCTAAATGGCAGCACAGGTGTCAGAAATTTTGCTGGTTATTATGATACATTTATCTTACTTGGGGGGTCCTTGATGGGTATTGATCTGTGGCTTAACTAGCTTACACTGTGGTGACACAATTACAACTAGTTCCTCATTGGTGGAGTGATGGAGATTTGCTGATAGCCATTTTTGATGGGTCTGTAATCTTGGCAATTATGAAATAGCAAGAGTGGATAATCCTTAGACCGATAAATTCACGCTTTGCATGAGAGGAGGCTAATAAAAAATTAATCCTCAATTTCTTGTTATTTGTGAACAAAAGAGCTTGCTGAGTAGATCTTAGCGTGCTCTTATTTTGTAACCAGTCTGAATAGCCTTCACTCTTCCCCGCCTCTCTCCTTTTACTAACGTCTACTGTTTTCTCTTGCGCTTGCCCTCTCCATTTTTTCACTTTTGTTTATCAGTTTATAGTAATCTCTCCTTGTCTTCCTTGTTGCTCTTCTGGATCTTCATCGAGTATGTTTTGATTAATCATGCGGTTGTAATCCTATCAGCTTGATCAAGTTGCATCAATAATATTAAATTGTTTATTTGTTGAAAATAAGCTTTTTAGGCATATTATATGGAATCAATGTGTTGGAAACTAAATCAATGAAAGTTACATAACATGCTTCTGTTTCTTAATGCTTCTTTAGGTTGCAATAAATATTAACTGTTTTGATATGGCATGGGTTGTTTTATTGGACTAATATTCAGGCTGAAAATACGGTTGATTGTTTTAAAAAATATCTTTCCTTGAGAGTATCTTAATTGGCAATCATCCATATTAGGCAATGAAGGTGGAGAACATGGTAAAATTAAAGGAAGAATTTGACTACAAGAGCTTGTGCAGGAGGCTTGATATTGAGGTAGATAAGTTAATTTCTGATAACGAAAGACAACTGAAAGATTTTGAAGATGAAGTTGAGAAAGTAAAAGCAGAAGCGCAAAGCCGGATATCTGAGATTGAGAGAAAATATATGATTTCTCTAGAGGTTTGTAACCATCCCAAGATATTTGGATTTTCTTCCAATTTTTTATTTGTCTGGTTTTCCGCTGTTTTTTTTCCTTAATGTTATACAGCTTAGTTCTTTGTTTCTGATTATTTCTTACACTGGAGTTTGTATTAAGTAACGTGTTTCATGTTGCTAAATGTTCCCAATTCCCTAAATTCTCACCAAACATTTCTTATGTTAGGGTGGAGGTTTGGGGTGTTTGCATATGGTATTTAGTTCAGAGTCTATTTTGCTTCACATCCCTTGATGCTGATCTATAATTGTATTTGCTACTTGTGTAATTTATGCTGACATGAAGACAATGCTAGGACCTTTGACTTCAGGCTCAATAGAACTCCATTATAACACATTATCCTCCCACAATCCCTTGTTCGCAGGATCAGAGTGGGATAGGCTCTGTCCCATAGTTTTCCTGCACAGAGAGATTTTTCTCTCCAATTGGGCTGTTGCCAGGCTATGGGTTCCCTATTTAATATTATTTTAATTGGAATTAAGGTTATTTTTTGCTTGAGAACGAGTTATAGGTTTCTTTTTTAGGTTATGCAGGCTTTTGCTTTATTTTATGTATTTTGGAAATTGAATTTTCTGATTTATGCTTTAAGGAGTGTTGTATCCTCTCTTTTTTTTTTTATATATATGGAAAGTGGTGTCTTTATAGCTTGTTCAGAAATATGTGGTGGATCTCCCTCAACAATCGTGCCTCGTTGGAGCCGGCATTTCATGGTTCTCTCTACTGTTGTCATCCCAAACAAGCACCGAACACGTCGAATCTCCTTCCAAATGCCGTTGACCTTACATATTATCATTCCATTACTATTCTACAACCACCACCCTGCTAGGTTTATCTCTCAAAAACTTTCTGGTAACCCTAGAACGGTGCATTTGGTATCACAACCCGACAAATTTATAGGGATTTGTCTTTCATAAACCTAAACCTAAACCTAAAGTCCACATAGCCTAAATCTTCAACCAACTCAATACCCTAATTATTCATACTGTAATTTCTAGCCCTAATCCTAAATTTTCAAAAGTTAACCTTCCTACCTCCACCAAAAATCTGTCTTGAAACCAACCTCCAAATACCCTAAACCCTCAACCAACATTTCACTCACAGCCCTACACTTGTCAAAATTTTGATCAGAAGAAAATGATACAATCCTTCCTATGAGAGACATACAAAGAGGTGTTCGGGAGCTTACAATAGAAGTTATGCAAAGGGAGGCTCACCAACTGCAACAACTTGTCGCTATTAATGGGTGACAAACTATAGAGTTTACATATTATGGTGACTCTTTGGATCGAGAGGAAGTGAATCCCTGTCATTGAAAAATTTTTAAGTGATGAACCAATGCACCAATAATTTAGCATTGAATATAGGGATGCAAATTAACATGGCATTCTACAAGCTACTTATAGCTGGGTTCCATTAGAGATCATTTATGATTGTTTAATTAAGTAATTGAATAAGCTTAAATATTTTTTAATTGTTGACTTATTAAGTGAATAGGTTTTAACATATTGTTGTTCGACTCGTTTATGATCGTGAACAAAGTTGTTTGATGTTTGTGAACAAGTTCATTAAAGACTGAATTAAACCTTGTTAAGGTATTTTATTAGTTTTACATTCTTATGTATTTAAATTTTCATTTCAAAATTCTTATAATATTATCTTATTTGTTATTTGTATTTTTTTCTATGAGTACTAATTATATATGTATATATTTATTCATTTATAATTATTATTATTTAATTCTTTAATTAATATATTATTTAATTCTTCAAATTTTGCTCACCTTAAAAAGTGGATTGAATAATTTGATCTAAATAAAGAGAGACTCCTGTTAATTCTCTTTTGAACACCTACAAAAATATAGTTCGAGGTACTGCAGCCTCATACTCTGCATGAACACCCATTATCTCATACTCATTACTTCTAGCACCACTAAGGTTAATTCAACTGAAGTTTCTCTCATGGGCTCTGCTGGAATCGTTGGCGTTTCTTTCTTGTCTTTGGGTTGAGAATCCTTTCTTAAATTTTCATCCTCTCTTGGATAACTTCTACTACATCAACTGCACCATGATCATTGAAAAGTTTCATTCTCATAGTTATGCAATCTGATTCATTATGCCAAAATCTGACACTTTCTGGGTATGACGGTCTGTTGTCTACTATTAATTAGTTTCTTCTCAGGCAGCGCCAGCTTGAATTTTTTTCTGGGTGTACTCTGAGTCTAAGATCTTTGGATAAAACTTGCCTGTAAGATATGGTGGTCGCTTAGTGATGTGGTCTCTCTACTTTTGAAGTTGTGGTCCAAACATCCAATATGTATTGAATTGGTAGGTACCGACTCAACATCTCCCATTTTATTTTGGATATGGTAGTGATCTTGTCTTTTCTCTCATGTTAACATATGTACTTCAAAATTTCCCACCAAAATAATGCACTCTTTTTTAATTTGGTGGCTACTAGTTTCATCATTTTGTCTGGTTGGACTTTTTGATACTTAAAAAAAAGGTTCCACGGTTTGAGGCCACTCGATGAACTCGTCTGGATCCAAGTGGCCATCATAATGTGATAAATTCATCATTACTTCAAAATTTTGGGGTCAAATTGTTGGGGTAGTGGTTCTTCATCCTTGTAATCTGCATAGTGTAAGAGATTCATTTCATTTTTTTCGATCTAGCAAATCACTATTGTAGCTATAGTGACCCTTTAAAATTGCCTCTTCTTGAAGGCAACAATCCTCTGTGTAATTAGAGGATTTTCTACAATATAACCTCTATAGAAGATTCCCAGACATCTCTTTGTGAATTTCTCATAAATGACATTGCGTTCATTCCCCTTGATCAGGCTCTAGCTATTGTCTCCTTGGTGGCATGACTAGCGTTTGGGTCGGTGTAGGAGGATGTATATAGATGATGTTGGGCGGGAAAGAAAATTTTTGGGTAGCAAGTTTGAAAAGTCATCAAAAGGGAAGGATTTTTGTATGGAGGTGGGGTTGGATTTTAGATGAAGCTGTATAATCGAGGACATTACTAGGATTAGACAAGCTCTGATAACAAATAATGCCAGAGTTAACCCAAACTATTATAGAAAAAATAAATATTGTTACTGAAACTCAAATATGGACTTACTACAACCAACCGAACTAGAAAATAACAATGACACGATAGAAGAAATGGAAATCAACAACTGACACGACAAATACTCAACGAAGGTGGATCTCGTGATGGTGGTGGTGGTCAGCGAGGGTGAAAAAGACAGTTGGTAAGCAGAAAACAAGAAAGCAGTAATTTCCTCAGGGCTGAAGAGTAAGTAGACGACCGGGAGCGCTGGCCTTGTTGAGGGTAGTAAGCGAGAAGGGCGTATACGATGTTGGAAGCAACGAGGACTCAGCTGGAAGGTCGTTGACCACCGGACAGCTAGTAGGGGAGGGTGCGAGGAAGGTGATCCCGACTTTCTATAATTATAGAAGTAAAATGCGAGTATGCGATTAATTTTCTTAATAGATGTTTTTAATTTGCAACGACTGCTAAAAACTTAATCCAAAACAAAGATTAGGTAAATTTTTCACTATGAAGCAAATAAGAATGCAGTTATAATATTTCAATATGGGATACTTTGCAAATATACGTATAGTTATCAAGTAATATAAAATTTTTTTGATTAAGTCCCGAATATCAAACCCACGGGAAGGATTAGTTTTAGATGACAAAATACTTAACAATTTATATTCTTACTCAAAGTTAAGATGCTAAATTAGGAATAAAAGTTCGATTTTTTTTGTATTTTTTGTTTAATTGAAAATAAAGTAAGCAACTAATTAACTTAACTAAAATACTTGCAAGATGAAGACAATATAAGTAAAATATCTTTTTTCTTATCATGAATCAGTGATATCATGATCTTTTTTCTTATCATGAATCAGTGATAAATATAGAAATTTAGTTGTGAAAGTATGCTAAATGTGTGGTGTCAAATAGAAGCAATAATATTCTTGACCCATACTAGAGATGCTATAAAGAACATTGGTTAATCTATAATTTGAATAGTCTTGAGGACCGACTAGGCAGAAAGATACTAGCTCTCACTCTAGAGTTTCCTCTTCTCCCTCCACCTAGGGGCTAACATCTCGTATCAAAACCTAAAACTATAAATCAAATTGTGGGTTTTAGCCTGTCACTCTAAAGTCCTCTAATTTTACATCCTCTAATTTTCCACTGATTCTACACCGATGAAAATTTTATTTCTCTATTTATTTGCACTCAATCCCACGAATTACATTCTCATTCATGAAATCAATATGTGATGCTAACCATTTGTTGACTGAGACAATACCATCTGAGATCTTACATGTTCTCACAACAGATGTTAAAATCTTAATTGGCCAAATCAAGAAGTAAATAAAGTGCAATGTCTTGAATCATCACAACTTCTTCCAACATTGAAGTTTAGTACTTCACACAACTTCTTTTAAACATTTAATCATTTATCATTTTAAGAAAAAAAAAAAGAAAGAAAACTACTCAGAATTCATTGAGAAAATACAACCACATAAGAGTTTAAAAGTAGAAATAATGCACACAAACAAGAAATTTAAATTAAAAACCAATTGTAGTCACAAAGATAAATACTTTTCTCAAATTATCTCCACAAATGTCTTGAAGTTCATTTGAATTCTCTTCCTTCATTCACAAAATAAACCAACACTCAAAATAAAATAAAATAAGATAAGGTGGCCGGCGGCGGTGACGAGGGCGTATATGTGAACTTTTGGTGGGTGGTTGCTGGCCTCCTCTCATGGATAATCTAATTCTTTTCCTATAAAAATCCAAGGTATAAAAATCCAAGAGGTGCCTTTGTGCCTCTTCAAAAGGCGTCTCCATTCAATGAATCTTCTAGAAGTTATCTCTTCATAAGCAAATTGAATGAATTTTCGTGTCAATGAGCTATTTCCCACGTTTTTATCAAGAGTATCTTCAAACACCTCTTCAAAATTCTGCTCCAATTAATATTTCTTCAAATAACTAATTTTGACGCTTAAACACGGGGTACCTAGCGCTTAGGCACGGATCTGGGCGCTTAGACGCCCTAATTCATTTTGCACATTTTTTCATTTTTGCTCCATATTTGACATTTTTTCACTCATTTTAGCATTTTCCATCAATTTCATTGTACCTACAAGAAAAAAAAAAAAAAAAATTACCTTTCATTAAAACACAATATCTCAAAAATAAGTATAAAAATGTGGATAAACATACTATATATTTTAGGTGTATCAAAAGACTAAGGAGTGACCGTCGATTGGGAGGGATGTGTGTGCTGTGGGGCAGGATGGAAGCAAGGTTGGCGGCTGGCTGGAGGCAATAGGAGCAGATTGGAGGCTGAAGGAACTCTGGAGTTGTTTGGGGACGGATAACCACTACCCTGTTACGAGTTACGGTTGGAGCACTGTCTGGACCGAGGTATTACTACTTTCTTTTCTATGCCTGGAATCTATGTGCATGCTAAAATATAAATTTTAAATGTATTGTAACTTGGTTGTCTACTTGTCGATTATCGGTATCGGGCTAAGGAGCACCCTCCTAAATTAGGTTTAGTAGGACATCCTTCTAGCTGAGTGATGAACTCTATACATTAGGGTGACCGATAGTAGCTTTCGACGTCTCTCGAGTATATATATTTATAGTATCTGAGGCTAGCCCCGATCCGAGTGCTTGCGGTTTTCTCTCTTTGGGTTTTTCGTGTGATTTTATTGGAACTTTTGGTAAAGCACTCGTGGTCTTTTTCCGTGATCTTCCCCATGTTGTTTCTTTTGTGTATGTTGCCCCCCAATAGGAGAATTATTGGCACTAGCTGATTTGTTTTGCTCAAATCGACTAAGATATCCTCGCTGAATCAACCATTCAATCTCTTCCTTGAGCTGCTTACGCACTTCAGTGGTGTGGTCATGAGGGAAAACCTGATGCCGACAACTATTCTGACAGTATTCTGAGCAAAGAACTGCCCTAACACACAACAAACAACACCTATATTGACCTAGGGTAAACAGGTGTGGGCACCACTCCCAATAGATGGGAACACCATACTTGGAAGGAATAGTTGGTCCCTCTGTCTGGACCGAGCTGGTCTAGAGCAGCTTACAATGTTTGTCGTGACTGGGGTGCAAACGCCGACACACGCTAGACACCTTTCGTGCTTATTTGTATGTCCCTGAAGTATTGAAACTCCAATGTCTTCGCATGGTTGGTTTGTAGAGTGCTCTCTCATTTCATTATCATAGCTTTGCTGGAAGTCACAAGCTTTCTCTCTCTGTAGTTTATTGCCTAGATTCAGGTGCTTCAAATTTGTTTGTGCACTTAAATTTGTGCCCCATATTTATAGTTGCGTTAGCTATTTTACTTGCTATATTTGTTATATTGTGGTTTTCTCATTTAAAATGTGGAGTCAACATTTTAGGAGAGATTAATTTCAATAAATAGAGTATTTTGTTTATTGAGACTAGATATCGTACTTAATCATAACTATCGATTATAAATTATTTTGCAGAATGAGAGATTGAAGTACCAGAAAGATTATATGGACTCAATAAAGAAGCTGGAGGAGAAATGGATGACCAATCAACAGATAAGTAAGAGCAATAAATCTTGGATTGGCAGTCATGAAGGATGCATGGATGGTGGAGAGGTTTGTACAGCTACCTTTTCTGCTGACATCCTAAAGATATTTAGATTCAAAACTTTCATAGAAATCTGCTTTAGCTTTTATCTACTGAACAACCCGTTATCCTTTTAGATTTTGTCTAACATTTTTTGCTGCTTTTGTTAATTTGAATTTATCGTAATATTTTACTTCATCTTTATATTAGAAGAATCCTCTACCTTTTTTTTTTTCACTTGATTCTCTTTCAGTATTTGCCTTAAAAAATGGCTTTTATGTGCAGTCTCAATTTTGATGATAGTTTCAACTATTTTTGTTTTTAAACTCACATTTATTGCCAATATTCCCTTCACAAGCCACCAATGAAGATAAATTTTGAGTTGCTGTCATCCTACTACTTTTGCCCATGGCATTTTCATGTTGATTTTTTACTTAGATCGTATGGTGGGCAGTGTTTTCCGAGGTTTGATTTAAGATGGGTGCTTGTAACAAAAATTCGTTGAACTGGTAGGTTTTTGTTTCTTTTTTCCATTGGGCTGTGTCTTTTTTTCCATTGGACGGGGCTTTCCCAGAACTGTAAGTTAACAGCTGTGTGTCTGTGATTGATATTCCAAATTCATAAGGTCATTATGGGTTTCTATCATTAAAACTAAAAAGAAATATTTAAAATTTACAATTTTCATTTTGATTAAATGAACAAGTAATGTTCTATTAGTTGAAGAAGGGACAAGAGAGCTAATTTGTTATTGTCACGCCTTGTCCCGGGGCTTGGAATTATTTAAGACGGGAACAGAGGGACGAACAGTGAGAACTAAATTCTTATATTCCTCTGTAATTTAACAAATAAAAGAACCACTAATCAAATTAAATTAAAGCAATAGATTTAAAATTATCTCGTTACTGGTTGTCTGCTTCTTCTATAAACGTTATCTCTTCTAACACTCATCGTTAATCGATTAATTAATCTAAAAAGTTAGTTTAAAATGAAAATGAGCTAAACAAATTAGTGAATACTCTTGCTCATTCTCAGGATCGACCTGAGTCTTGGAGTTAACTAATACGTGAATCAAAGGTTGGACTGTGGAAATGAAATCTCTACTATTCTAGTTCTATCACTGGCAATTTAATATTCAATCAATACATGAAAGAGCAACTAAAGAAAGTAATTAAATTAACAAATAAAAATTTGTACTATTTCGTTTGTTGTTCTTGTCTTCTATGCACATTTGCTTCACTTCTATTCATCTTGTTCAAGTGTTTAAAACCTAAAATTAATATTAAAACAACATAATGAGTTATCTAAAGATAATTCAGGAGTAATCACACTTCTAAACTATAATAATTCAAGAAAAATAGTATAATTTGTATGTCTGTCTATGAGAAATCGTATATTATGCTTGTCTTTAATATTTATTTATAAGCAATTTGAGATATGTTTATGAGCAATCTGATGTATGCTAATATATGCATCAATGACATTTTCTAAATGAACATACTCAATCTCCTATAAGCATATAGTTTAACATTTCTTTATGCTTTACATAAACATCTGTCTCTGTGAGGATCATTGTCGACAAACCTAACGCATCTTGACCGATGTTGTTTCTTCGGCTTCGCGGTTAGTGATCTACACATCGCAATTGTCTCGGGTAGAGAGGCCCTTATTTGCCCCCGTCAGATATTATCTCGTCGGCACAGTGGTTAGCAATGCAAACATCATAATTGTCTGAAGAGGTAAGCTCTGGTCTACTCTCCCCTAATCGATATTATTCTATTGGCTTAGCGCTTAATGTTCTAACAATCACAATTGTCCAGGGCGATAGAAAAACTTTATGTGTGCGGGTACAATGACGTTCCCTACGTGTACCATTAGGGGATGAAATCCTCCTCTGAACATGCACATACGAATATTCATATATAAATTATTTCATTCTTCTATATCATGCATTCACTTCTATAAAACATTTACCTCTATTTGCTAATAAATAATGCAAACTTACTATATTTATAAGTCATGAAATCACTAACATATGCACATTTACTAAAATTCTAGAGATTAAATAATAATGTGACATATATATTTAATCACGCGATAAGCTTATATGTAGACCATGAAATGATCTGATATTATCTTAAACTAATCTGTTATGAAGCTATATTTAACATGCACACTTATCCTGTCTGATAAATTGAAGAAATTATTGTTTAACTAGGGAATACATGAAATCAAACACACAATTTGAAATAGAAATAGATATTGGATTTTAGAAAATATAATTACTCATATTGATTAAAGAGAACTTTGAAACATTTGTCCCTTCACTTCACCTAGTGCTTTGATCTCTCTTTCATTTAATCCAACTGGTTGATAAATTAAAATCATTAAAATTAATTCATAAATTTTGTTGATATTCAATTAACACCACATTTAATTAATTATAAATCATTTCCTTATCCCTCTTGAATGTCTTGCTTCATGTATTTCTCAATTTCCAAGAATATATCTGCCTTTAATTCATGGTTATAAGTTCTTCGATAAAAGATCTTGTTTTAATTTAAACTTTTATTAATATTATAAATAGTACACACACAAATTCATTAATTAGCTGAATAAAACTTAACATATATTAAAGTGTTTTAGTTGTCCGCAACCATTCCTTTTCTCGCACAAGGAAAGCTTATCGCCCTCCTCTCCTTAAATTTGCAATTTACTAATTTTGATCCTAATACCATTAAACTTTATGTTAACATTAATTAAATAACACTGCACTCTCATACACACACACAAATATATATATATATATATATTATTAAAATATAAAAGGATAGATAAAGGTTGTATGAGAAGAGTTCAAAGAGGCACTCTACCCATACTATACAAGTACATAAAAACTCCAACAAAAGGTACATATAAACTCAAAAAAAAAAAAAAAAAAATTAAAACTAGGGATGAACCAGTTTCAGTAGATTGGGACGAGCCAGTTTAGGAGCGGAACCAGATAACAAGCTTTGAAGAGTCGTGCTATTGCTAGGAGTCACTAAAGTATCATCCATTAAGTTTCCAAGTTAGAGTGAGCCCCCAAACTTCTTCTTCCGCCGAGAAGTGTAAACCAACCATACTTCATCTGAAGGCTGACTCATATGATCCTCGATCTGATTTGATGTTTGAACCACAGTAAGAGGAAAGATATTTGTTGTCATTGCGATAGGTTCCAGTGTATGTGAAGTGTGAATTGTTACCTCTGCACCTGATGCTTTCTGAATAGGAGCTGCAGAACTATTCTGATTTTTCAGTTCGAACATTATCCATTGTAGTATGGTCAGGAGAAGGGATCCCAGAGACATACACCAACTCCTGTCTTGTGATGTTTCCCTCCTCAGGTTGGCTATCATTAGGTTTGCTGGGAGCGCGTTCAGACACATGGGGTGCGCTAACAGTGTGTTCCTGCTTTTGACTGTTGGTTCTCAATTGTGGGTGCAATTTGAAACATTTCTTCTGCTGGTGTCCAAACATCTTGAAGTGCTAGTATGATTTTTGTTCCATAATGATTTTTTGCCAATAACCATTGTGAGCAGATCCAAGCCAGACTTCTTCTACATCCGGTAGTGTAATATCTCGTTCAATCAAAAACCTTATAATAGAGAGTTTTGAGAAATGAACTATAGGTAAATCTACCTGCAAAGGTTTTTCGAGGATAGTCCCAATTGCGTATAAGATAGGTAGATCAAAGAAATGAAGCTTGAGTTCATGTAATGAGAACCAGATATGTGCAATTGAGGGTTCTTGACTGGGATCAAAATTGGGGGTCAATTTGAGCAATTTCATATGTTTGCCCTCAGTTGTGATGAATTTCTTTGAGAAAATCTTCGTGTAATCATCTTCTGTGCTCAGCTGTATCATAACATGTCTTCCATCGAAATGGCTCACCTGTCAATCCCCAACCAGTTTGAAATATTCAAAAACCTTCCTGATGATCTCCATCTTTGGGCAACCTAATTGAAACTTTCCAACTAGTGTAAATTTGTTTTTTCCTGCACGAGTTGAAATTTCAGCGTCAGAGAAGAAAATTGCTGGTTTTCCTGTTTTTTTCTCTATTTTGTTTATGAGATTGCAATCACCATTTCATGCAACAGAATCATGGTAACTCTGCGGGAATACCGCACTATCTGCAAGGTGAAAAATGGAGCTGCGTTTGTGAACCACTATAACATAGGAGGGTTTGGCTGGGTTATCACCGGTGAGGGTGGCGACGTAAGAAAGCTCTGAGGCCATTACTGTAGTTAGTGCCAAACTGCAGCATGAAGAAAAACTACAGGATATGTCGCAGACGCCTACGCCCAAGGCTGGAACGAGCGGCTCTGTCACAGACTCGCACGCTGAGCCGAGCAAAACGACGAGCGGTT